GGATCAACTGTTTGAGATAGCAAATGATGGTGGCCTTAAAACTATGTTCGGGACCCGGTGCGGTGGCTCACACCTGAGCCCAGGAGTTTGAGGTTGCTGTGAGCTAGGCTGACGCCACGGCACTCTCGCCCTGGCAACAGAGTGAGACTCTGTCTCAAAAAAAAAAAAACAAAACGATGTTCGGGACAACTTCAAATCTCCATACATTCTAGATTAAAGTCAAGATATCCTTCCATCTGTTTAAGCAACAAAAGAAAAAAGAAGTCAGGGTATCCTGAGATTGCCATAAAAGCACTGAAAAGCCTGCTTGCGTTTCCAACATCCTATCTTTGTGAAGCAGGGTTTTCTTCAGTAACAGCAACCAAAACGAGATTACGAAGTAGAGTGGATATAGGCAGCACAATTCGAGTGCCACTGTCTCCCATTTCCTCCGATGGGACTGTGTGTTTGCAGGAAGACAAGCTCAGGTCTCCCACTGATTCTGCATTATGGTAAGTTGTATAATTATTTCATTATATATTACAATGTAATAATAATAGAAATAAAGTGCACAATAAATGTAATGTGCTTGAATCATCCTAAAATCATCTCCCTCGCTTCCGGTCTATGGAAAAATTGTTTTCCATGAAACCAGTCCCTGGTGCCAAAAAGGTTGGGGACCACTGCCTCATATCATACACACAAATGAACTTGAAATGAATCAGAGATTTTAATATACGAGCTAAACCTACAAAACTTCTAGAAGAAAAGGTAGGAAAAGATCTTAGTGACTTTCAATTGGGAAGATTTCTTAAATACAACATAAAAAAATGTAACTGGAAAAGAAAAAATGAATAAATTGGACTTCATCAAAATCTAAAACTTTTGCTCTTCAAAAGATACTGTTACTAAAAATGAAGAAGCAACCAACAGACTGAGAGAAAATATTTACAAAATATATATCTGATAAAAGACCTGTATCTAGAATGTATAAACAACTACTACAACTCAATAAGACAATATAAATTTTAAAATATCCAGTTTAAAAGTGGGCAAAATGTTTCAACACATACTTCACCAAAGAGGATATATGGATGTCAGATAGGAATGTGAAAAGATGGTTAATCATCATTAATCATTAGGAAAATGCAAATTAAAACCACAAAAGAATATCACAGCATACCCATTAGAATGGCTAAAAATCAAAAGACCCTCTGTTTTTTGGTTTTTTTTTTTTTTGAGACCGAGTCTCGCTCTGTCACCTAGGCTGGAATGCAGCGACATCATTATAGTTCATTGCAAGCACAGATGCCTAGGCTCAAGCCATCCTCCTGCCTCAGCCTCCTGAGTAGCTGGGATGGACTACAGGTACCTATAGGCATGGGGTGGCCTGGCTAATTTTTCTGTTTTCAGTAGAAATGGAGTCTCACTCTTGCTCTGAGCTCAAGTGATCCTCCTACCTTAGTCTCACAGAGTTCTAGGATCAAGCTACCATGCCTGGCCGAAAGACCTTGTTTATTGTTAGTGTGGATGTGGAGGAACAGGAACTTTCATAGACTGCTCTTGGAAATGTAAAATGGTTTGACCACTTTGGAAAATAGTTGGACAATTTCTTAGAAATTAAACATACATCTTCCTTATGATTCAGCCACTCCTAGATATTTGCTCAAAAGAAGTCAGAGCATATGTCCACACAAAAACTTGTTTACAAATGTTCGTAAGAAACAATCCAAATATCTGTCAATAAGTGAATGGATAAACAAATGGTGGTATATCCATACAATGGAATACTCCTCAATGATAAAGCGGTAGGAACTATTGATGCCT